CTCTATTAATAGAGATATCTCTATTGAAAACTAAGATATCTCTATTAAAAACTAAGATATCTCTATTTAAAACTAAGATATCTCTATTAAAAATGAAAATAAAGATATCTTAGTTTTAAACAGAGATATTTTAGATTTAAACAGAGATATCATAGTTTTATATAGAGATATCTTAGTTTTAAATGGAGATATCTCTATTAATAGAGATATCTCTATTAATAAAGATATCTCTATTTAAAACTAAGATATCTCTATTTAAAACTAAGATATCTCTGTTTAAAACTAAGATATCTCTATTTTCATTGTTAATAGAGATATCTTTTTTTAAATAGAGATATCTTAGTTTTAAATAGAGATATCTTAGTTTTAAACAGAGATATCTCTATTAATAGAGATATCTCTATTAACAAAGATATCTTAGTTTTGTTTCCGGTACAGAGCAATATGGGAAGAGTGTTCATACTATCGGCAACTGAGGTAACTTAGCAAGAAAACTTTCCCCAAAGTAGGAGATTACTCAACCGTATAGACAAATGACCCACTCCTACTAATGAAGATTTATTATAGCCCAGAGTAGCCAGTTTCTGGCCTTGATGACTTTCGTAAACTTTCTTTTCTTGATTGTGTTTCAGTTCAGTAAGCCTATGTTTGTTTCAGTATACCTCCATGGTTTCAGGATTCCTGTATTTTGAGGAACAGCTTTGTGTTATAAATAATTATTTGGTTATGATATATCATATAAAGGTTATATAAAGTAAAGTGAATACTTTATATATAAAAAGAAAACTAATTCTTTTATCAAGTTTCTTTTTAAAGTTAGTCATTTGTTTCGTTATAAGATGCTTTAAAAATATGTTACAGCATAGTAAATATTCATTAGACTACAAGTATAGCCTCTATAGAAAAAAATTATAAAAAGGTATATAATGGTTAATCCAATTAAATGTGTTAATAATATTATTCCTATTAGCACACTGACCAGCAAAAGAATAACGTGATTCATAACATTATCACATGAATGTGGTGTAATATAATTAATTTTAAAAAATAATATATTCTATTTAGATATATATATATATATATGTATATATATATATATGTATATATATAGAGACGTATCATTGTGAAATGATGTAGCACGTTGTTCCATAACAAATATATTGGTGAAAGTGATGACAATGAAAACAAAAGTCAAGTTGACGTATTTTTGGAACATAATTTATTTAACACGAATATTTCGTCCACTCCTGTGGACTTCATCAGCGTGAGTGATATACATTGGAGATACTTAGCTACAAGTTGCCTGAAATTTAATTGGCCTATCAACAAAGCATGGGCGGTATTAGAACTTAATGCGAAATAAACAAAACTAGTAAATAAGAATTAACTAGAGAGCTGAGTTGTTATCTAAAGTAAGAAAGCTTACTAGCAAAGACAATGCCTTAATGCTGATTATAGATAAACAATAAGGAATGAGAAAGCAGATAATGGCTGTTCCCACGATATGCTGACTGTGAGGGGTACGACGTTAAACTGCATCCGGTCGACCCCATTTAATTTTGTAGTCTTTAAATAGCGGCCACTGACAGCAATAAAAAAAACAGCGGAACAGAGGTCGGATTAACTCTCCGGAATCAACGGCCAACCATACTTCAGGCGGGGGACCACGGGGGCCCGTGCCCCCCCCCCCCACGTTAGTCACTCCGAAAAATTAAAAAAATTGAGAAGAGTTAAAGGGAGGAAAGAAAGAGGGAAAAAAGGGAAGTGTACCCATGAGTTCAGTGACGGATCCAGCAGAGGGCGAAAGGAGAGCTCGATTATTTTACCACTCACTAATTTTGAATTTTCTACTGATTGACAACGAACACAACGCTATCTCCCCGACGAATAAATCAGGAGGTAAAAAGGCCAAAAGGCGGAGACCTAAAGACAGAGTTTTTTTTAGCCGGAATGTTGTACCCAACTATAGAACAGCTATCCATGCTCAGCATGGAGTAAGTGCGAAAATCCGCAGGCCACCGACCCTTAGGGCCCCTTTGATGCCCCTACCCTTGAGGGTCTAGGGTCCTCGCTCTATATACCTCGCTTTGTTATTAACAGCATAATGTGTCTCTGACAGCGACTGTATGACATATATTATATTAATCCAGTGATTATGGGATGCCCAGCCGGCCAAGGCCACCCTTTGTCAACATTTTAAAAAATGAGATAAAACATTCAAATTTTAAGTCTGAATGAGTGCCATTTCCGGGCATCTAAAGGTACCATAATCATAATTTGCTTTGCGACTACCCAGTATAGAATAGATTATAGGTCCTTTGATCAGACCTTTCCGACGCCCGTCCGTGAGGGGAGGGGTGTCTAAGGGAGGAGGAGCACTAGCCTACGAGGGAGCATAACTGCCGTCGGGAGGAAGTACCGTAAATAATTTTGTCGAGAAACACTGCTTAAATGAAAAAGAAATTTTACCGTCTGAGAGTGCCATTTCCGAGCGTCTATAGGGGACTATTCGTAAAATTTGCTCCAAGGATCACTGATCCTTAAGGGCCCCTTCGGTGCCCCTACCCATATTGTCCAGTAGGGTCCTCTCTCTATAGCACCCTAATCCAAAAGGGCTTTGCTGATACAAAACAGTGTGTCACGGACATCGACTGTAGGACAGCATATTTTTAATTTTATTTCAACCACTTTATTAAAAAGGATATAACATTCAGGCAAAACCTAGGTTACAAGCTTACCCTGCAAAGCAGGAGGCAAGGCAAGGTAACGAAAACAAAAGGACAAGGACAAAAAAAAAGAAAGGTTTAAACATCATAAAATCAGCAACGGTTTAAATTAATTTTCAAGTTACATCCAGTGACGGTGGTTGTTGTCCAGCCGGCCAGGACCCCCTGCATTTGTAAACATTAAGTTTAAAAATGGAGATAAAATATTCAAGTTTTAAGTCTGAATGAGTGCCATTTCCGGGCATCTAGAGGTACCAAAATCATAATTTGCTTTGCGACTCCCAGTATAGAATAGACTAAGCCTATAGGTCCTTGATTAGACCTTTGCGATGCCCGTGAGGGGAGAGGGAGCATAGCTCTCGTCGAGAGGAAGTCAATATTTTTTGACGAGGAGAACACTGCTTTGAAAAAGCATATTTTTACTCTGAGAGTGTCATTTTCGAGCGTCTAGAGGGTCCTATTCTTAAAATTTGCTCACCTCAGTCCCAACCATGGTGGGGCTGAGGTAGGTGTGGAATACCTATTGGCGTCCCCCCCCCCACCCATCCACCGTCAGAGAATTATTTCCGGATCCACCCCTGATACTTAGGAGTATAGCATTAAAGCTCAAAACAAAGGTCAAGCATATGAGGCTTTATGTATTATGCGCTCTATAAATCCGTAGTTGTTTATTATTATTATTATTATTATTATTATTATTAAAGTTGCCATAGCAATGACTAATGGAAACTGCGATCCAACTGGGTCTGCCCCTGACTCCAGATGATCAACCTTTACACATCCCTGCACCCCGCCCCTCCCAAAGACAACTCCGGATGCAGTCCTGCCTACAATGTGCATGGGTAGGCCTAATTAAATCAAATAAAACATATGCTGCAGCAATAATGAAAATTAATATATAAATAGTTAATAAATATTATGATTATGGTGGATAGACCGTTTTGACCATTACCTAATTCTATTATGATAATTTATTTTAAACGTACTACTTATTCCTGATATTTCAGCTTCAAATCCGCTAGAGGTTACGAAGTAATCGCTTTGAAAGACAACCGTTAACGGTGCCTTTGCTGACACTGTTGAAGGGATCTGGGAGCCAGTGTAGCTGACAATCTGCTCACCGTCGCTGAAGATGAGCACATAGTCGTAGTTTTTTTCTATGTCAAAATGGTTGAATTTAATCGAGAGCAAACTTCCCGGATATCGGGTACGAAACGTCCACCTGTACTCCATGTTGTTTTTATATCCATTTGGGTAACCAGGAGATGTAATAATCTGCGATGCATTAGGACAGAGGAGGTCATCAGTTGTCTTGTATAAGGGAATATCTATATAAAAAAAATAAAAAAATAAAAAAATATATCTAAACAACATAACTTTGAGAACCATCCAATATTACTTTAAGTGAACATAGTGTTTTAGCAAGTAACAAGCCTACTATTAAACTATATATATA